CTTCGTATAACCTTGTTATAAAAAGGCCGCATGACATTGCACCAAGGGATAAAGAGACTGTATTTATTATACTTCCCAATGTCGCGCCGTCCGAGAAAGAATGAAAGACTTCTTTCGGGTAAAGAATTACTATTCTCTTTCGGTGTTATATCAGTAATGTATTTTGTAACAATTCATTTTTCACATAAAATATCGTAGTAGTACGAGCAGAGACATACAGATTTACATATTGCGGGATACTCGGGTATCCACTGAGCACCCAATGTAACGTCCGTTGGAGATCTGCGTGGGCTTCGTTAGGATCGGGCGGCAAAAGAGCAAGGGAACATTCTCTTTTCTTTTCTTTTCTTTTCATTTCTTTTCATTTCTTTCGAGCTATCGTCAAACGAGCTGTCGACGCGAGCATCTGTCACCCTTCCTTATCCCGCGATATTTCGTAGGAGCGATGAATATTCGAGAAGTACATTCGTTAATTCAGATACAGAACACATCTCGACTGCCCGAGCGATCGCGACCCGATCGACGACAGGAGCTGGCAGAGCGCGCGGATCCGCGATACGGATCAGGCCGATCGTTCGAACGCACACGTAGATACACCATTACGTTTAATTAATAGGTAGAATAATAGAGGTTCGAAGCGATTAAAAAATATGTCGGAGGCCGGCACAAATCCCGGCCCAAGCTCTCTTACTCGCTTACTTAACTCTCGGATTTTGTTCTTTTTTTCTTTTTTGCTTTGTTTATTCGACACGTTCAACAGCGAATCCACACTTTTATATATCTGTATAATATATATTTATACTTAATAGTAAAGTCCTTAATATAGAGCGATCAATTTACAATCAGTTAGTTAATTTGATTAATCGAAGAGTCAATTAATTAGTAGTGCGGTTGGATGTGCCGGTCGCACCGACCGGCCAGAGTTATGTGTATATAATCCTCATCTTTTCGATTTGCGAATCGATGAACGTTGTTGCGCGACTAACACACCGATGACATCTATTATTCTTGGCCGCCGTCCGGAATCGGATTGGATTTCTGAAAAACATCTACTACAATAAACTTCGATCGTATGTACTCGCGTTCGTGTCTGAATGTTTATATGCGTGTGTGTGTGTAGATATTGTATTTTTATGTACGTGTTTGTATATGTTTGAGGCCGATGATGGAACGAAAGAAACATCTATAATATAGACATCAGTTATTATATCAACGATTCTCATCTATACCCTGTGCATCATCTTAAATGTCTCGACACATCCTAGGTGATTTCACCCGAGATAAATGTTGCTCGCTTATCCTTACATATATAATATATTTATAGTTTATATTTATATAATATCTATATATATATTTATATATTTATATATTTATATCTGTATATATATTTATAATCATGCCAGATGCGTCACTTTACAGCGTCGGTCAGCGACAAAGGAGGATGCCGATTAATGCCAGCTATATCTATTACGACTGCGTGTAAATGTTTTTGTGTGTGTGTGTGTGTGTGTGTGTGGGGCGTGAGTGCGTTTCATATAATCGTGTATTAATATATAGTGACTTTCGGCAAAATGCGAAACGCATAACAGAATATAATTAACGAGACAACGTAACGCGACTATGTTAATAACGACGTAACTCTACAGCGATATCGAGTCGTAACGATAAATAATAGCCAGAGTTGCAACGAGAAAACGGCGATGGCTGTTGCGGGCGCGAGGTACGAAAGTGGATGGCGCGGTGATGATAAAACAATTAAAGTACACACGAATAGTCTCTTCTGCCTCTCACGTTTGGGCTCTCATACATCTTCTTACGTTAAGTAAGCTTGGCATCCGGTCGCGCGGGCGGTCTCTTACCAAGGTTCAAGTTATAATTCGGTCGATCGTCGGTGCGAATTCCGTCCCGCGCGCGAGTTGCAAGGCCGGTTCTATTAACATCGATTAACATCAACCTTAGTTTAATCGATTTTCTGTCTCCTTCTAATCCCACTTCCTGGGAAGGAGATAAATAAGTTATTTCCCATTTCTAATTAAATGACGCGAGTCAAATGTCGCGCGAATAAATATATCCGAAATTTGAAATTTTTTAATGCAACAGTATCCGAAAAGTTTTGAAATATTAAATGGAAATGGCGTACAGCACTCGAATTAGCATAACGTTTAAGTTACATCTACAATTCAACGGTTCCTCTTATGCAAAATTGGCTTTATCCGATTGCGGGAGAAAACGGGTACAAAGAAAACTTTCAATCGCGTGATACTTTTATGTAACATTCTCCTTCTGAACGTCGCACGCGTTCGAGAAATAGTTTCTTTTTCCGCGGATAAGGATTAAACTATGGTTAAATTTGACCAACGTTGACGAAAGTGGTCGTACCACGATTGAAGATACACCGACGCAATCGGGCTTGATTTTTTCCTTGCTATGTGCAGTAACCTTAACGATACAATGACGATAACGATTAATAGTTACTCTGTTATTAAAAAAAGCTCACGTGCTGCGAGCGCGAGAGCGACATGCGGCGCGAAATTTGGTATGATACTTTCTACGCTCATCTCTCGTTAGAGCGCGATGAGGAGATTTTTCGGTACAATAAAAAAGGAAACAGAAATTGAAAAATCATTTAATCTGAAACACTATGCGTGACAAGAAAAAAAAAAAAAAAACAAATGATAGCATATCTTTTATTCGAGCTAAGAAACATCCGACTTCGCTAATAAAGGTCGATGCAGATTCGCGCGTTCAGAACCGATGACCGCAAAGATATCTAATCGATTGATCGCGTTATTTTTTTATTTTTATTTAATTTCTGTTGCTGTGTGTATGATATAACAAACACGGTCTCGTAGAAACGTGAGAGGGTACGTAAAATCGTAATTTCACAACCGAGTTTCGTAATTTCGATGGGTCAACAATTATTCACGTCTCTTCTATCACTTTTACTTAAACTAATTTGCTATATTAGCAACAATACCTCATTATGGCACAACCGAGCGAATCTATAGAGTTCCTCGTGAACTTGAAACTTTCAATTCGATTAAGCTCGGCTCGGCGCACGGTCGAAATGAGAACGATTGCTCATCGAGAGGAGATGCGTGACTCCTCAGTTACAAGTTTATAAAAGATAAATCTCTTAGCGGATTTCTCTTCTTTTGTCAAGATAATAAATTCTTCGATTGTCGAAAACTGAACAATGAAAAATTTGTATAAATATCGCTTATAAAAAACAATATTACGTGTGTCTTATATCACGTAAAGTCATAAAACGAAGCAAATCATTGATTTCTTGGAGAAATTAAGATAGCAATTCCGGTGACATGAAATTGCGCACGTCACATAAAGTGTAGCATTTGTCGTGTTAATTAATCAAATACGCAACACAGTAATAACATTACAACAGGCTAATGGTATTAAGGCGCAATGCGATACATAAACGATAAGTAAATGATTGATACTATTATTCTAATCGTACAATCGTAGCGCGTTTTTTGTCGAAACGAAATCGGTATAAATTCGATCAATTCTTTTTCTGATAGACACTGAAAAGTCATTTTATAACATTATCACAATATAACTCTTATTGCACTCTCGTTATTCTTAATAAATAATATTATACTCTCTATCATACAACATGTCATTTTTGTGATGTATAAAATACATAATATCATACAAACAAACTGATATTATATAAATACAACAATATGATAAAATATATATTATATAATATATTATATATTATATAATATATACTTTATATAAAATGGCATTACACATAGTAATGTTAACGTCATAATATCATTTATAAATAAGAGAAAATTTAAGTGAAAAGTCAATCATTGTACAATATCTTTCGCACAATCTCTCACAACCGTTAATTAAAAATAAAATATGTAAATTATCTCCAGTGCGCATCCAAGTGCTTGAATTCATCGAAATTATACTAATTGTTTCGATATAATTGGTAATATTTCGGACTTGGTGTTTTACTTTATAATGCGTCGTTTCTTATTGACTTTCGAAGATAACAATTGCGAATTAGAATATATACCCATCTATATACGCCATTTGCAATATCGAATGTCGTTCGAAATACGAAAGTGTGGAAACATGGTTTCGGTTAAAGCTCGTAGATATGCTGGTAGCAGCAATCAGTGTGATCGATATTTCCTAATCGATATAGGAATAAGAAGAATAGTGTAATTACATGTTTGGCCGACCTTGGCTGCGTCGGCCGAATTCGTAATCGTGATCTGTTCGGTATTAAGGTCATTTATCGTTATGGTTATCAGAATGCGTGCCCGTGTAAGTGTATTTTAGCGATCGGATCGGTACAGAACGCGATCGGCGAACCTGATCTACCCTTACAATTCTCGTTCGTTGCGTGCGCTAGTCGCGTTTCATACGAATGGTTTTCCCGTTCCCGAGCCGCGCGCCCATAATTACTCACGGTATAATCACATCGAGAGCGTGATACAAAAAAATATAGTATGAGAGAGATATGGCGACAAAGTACATATAAGTGGGATGCAGGGAGAAAGAGTGGAGAGATGTTGAAATGAAAGACCGACAGACTGCCCCAAAATTGACGCAATATAGACATGCATGCCCTGGTGAAAATAAAGCGTAAAAGGAGCGTAGGAATATAAAAGAGAGTGTGATAGAGGTGTGAGCAAACGTTTCTAGGAGCATAGATTGAAACAATGAAACGTAAAGAAGCGTTAAAGTGCTTCTTCCATTATACTCCTTAGAGTACGTTTGTTTACCCTTCTCCCACTTTACATTCGACTTACGTTCCTTTTCATCTTACGCTAAATACTTTTGCTAGGGAGAACATCTTCATTTTCACACAATGTTTCAAATCGTGGTTTCAATGTCTTAGGAAGCTTACTAAGCTTCAGATTCTTTAAGTAGTACCCATCTGAAACAAAATGCATGATATACTATCTAATAATAATTCGGATAATAGTTTATTATTGCTATCAGAGTCTCGATGTTGTCTCGGTGAGGGGAAAATGTGCAGTAGGTATATCCATTTTCCGCCAATTCTGGGGTGTTTTGTACGTAGAACTGGCTTGAGCAAAGGAGAGTGTAAAAGAGGAAATAGAGAGAGAGAGAGAGAGAGAGAGAGAGAGTATCATAAGTGCGACAGATGGATCGAGAAAGAGCGAAAGATTGCGCGCGGATTGCATCTCGCGCGAGGTGATATCGCGGAGAGCGATTTAAAGAGAGAAAATGACGAGGATGAAGGAACGGCGATTCGGGGTGGACGACGCGCGACGGTGCGACCCCGACACGTTGAGAGCCGTGTCTTAAAAGACGTGTGTAAAAATACGTAGAAAAGATAAACGCGGCGGATACGTGCGTCGCTCGCGCGCGCGCGCGCGCACAGGAGGCGATCGGCAGGAGAGGATGGGATGGGATGGAGAGAGAGAAAGAGATAGGATCATCGGGGGCTGGTGGTGGGTCGGCGAACGGTATCTCACATCGATTATCATACACCGTCGTAGGAGGAGAGGTCGACCGGTGGTCTATGGTGCGACGGTGCGAGGTAGGACGGCGGCGTGGTGGTGCTACTGGACGCCGCTCCAGCCGTGCCGACGTAGCCGGGGTAATTGGCGCTGGGCGCGTGTATGCCTGTCGGTGGGGCTGGGTAAGCATCGAACGAGCTTGAGTACGAGCCATTGTACGGGTACGGATTCGCTGCCATCGGATGGCCGAGGGCGGCGGATGGGTGCATGCTACTCATACCGCTCATCCCACCAATTCCGTACGTACGCTGTATCAAGCTTGATTCGAGGCCTCCGAATAGATAGCCATTGGTCGAGCCCATCGGCACGGGGTAGTGGCCGGTTATGATGTTAGGATAAGAGTTGCCGGGGTGTCCGTGATTCATGCTAGGAGTGTAGTTACTGGACGCGAGATTTTCCACCGTGTAGGACTTGCTGTGCTGCTGTTGTTGCTGCTGCTGCTGTTGTTGATGTTGTTGCTGCTGCTGCTGTTGCTGAGAGTCTTGATGATGACGGCTGTTCATAGCGTATAAACCTCCATAGCCGGCGTCAGTGGGAGAGTGATGCAGCGAGGCTGGATAGATTCCGCTACCTGGAGGCAACGGTGGGCTATAATTGGTCATTCCAGCTGGTCCAGCCGGCATCCCGCCGAAACCGGACATGTAGGACTGATGGTGAGCGTCCATCTTCTCCGCCAAGCTATCGTCGCCCGGCATACCCGGATGCGAATGCTGCAGACGTTGGCTCCCGCCATCGGCTATACTCGGGATTTGGTCCACGAGAGATTCTAGGTCGCTCAGACTCTTAGACGCCACGTCCTGACCGGCGTTCCTCTTGATGCCGTATTGCTCGTGCGGATGATGCGGCGACATGGACGTATGAGTGGGCGTGTGTGGATGCGGCGGCGTTGGATGCGAATGATGAGAGTGTTCCTCGGCGGTTTGGCTGAGAGGCGTCGATGTCGTCTGATGCGGATGCGGATTATGAGCGTCTGGTGGCTGCTCGTGGTAACCCATGTAGTTGGCGTAGCTGTTATGGGACGGCGTGCCAGGACTGCCATGGTGACCCGCCGGATCGGGCCCTCCAGCCGGATTATACTGACGATGGTCATTGCCCATGTTTTGCTGCGACATACTGGTGGGCGGTTCGAAGTCTGGATGCTCGACGCTAGGCGACGTCAGAGGCGACGGCTCGAGATTGTTCTCCGACGAGATTGCAGTATTGATTTCGGACGATAAGTCCGAGTGCGTGAACGACAGCGACATGGACTTGGGACTCTGACTATAATGCTGCTGTAGATGCACAGGGCTTTGCTTCGCGCTCATATTGTACGGGCTATTGTCGTTCATGCCCTGCCCGAAGAAGCCGTCATTCATCGTCGGCGCGTACGGAGCCATATGCTGGAACTTTGGAGGTGACATCAGTGGTGGCGAAAAGCAATTCGACACGTTACTGTATCCGTCGTTCAAGTGGCCCATCACCTGATGCTGTTGCTGTTGCTGCTCTCTCTCACGATTCTCCCGCTCCATTTGCTTTTGCTGCTGATGGATCTTTTTCGGACGACCGCGGCGTTTTTTAATCACCTCGCCGTTTGCGTCCAACTTCTCAGGATCCGGCGGTGGTTGATCCTCTGGATTTTTTATCTTTTTCGGTCTTCCGCGTTTCTTCTTGCCAGGTATCACGCCCGTCTCCTGCTTAATTCCCATGCCGTTGATCTCCGTGATTCGGCTCTCACCGTCGGGCAAATCGTCGGTAAACACTGGCTTCTTGTCCTCGATCGCTTCGTGATCCTTCTTCTTGAGCTTTGAGTCGGCGAATACGATGTCTGATTCGTCCAAGTGCGAGATCGTACCGTTTAGGTAATCACGGAACTTCTTCAGAGCAGCGTAATATGGCACCTTATCAGCAGCACGTGGTAGTTGAGCACACCTCGCGCTGCTTGAGGGCATAACCCACATGTACTGCAATACATAACATTGAGAAATGAGGATTTTGCCTAGACGATTATGTTAAAAATATAATAATAATCTCGTTGAGTTCAAATGATACAGCCAAAATATGAGCGAAAGTGACCTCTCTGTTTATTTGTAGCAACGTGTTCAATTCGAGATCTACACAACATTCTCACACTGTGTACTCTCGCTGAAATTATATCAGAGATCTATTTTCTGTGACTAAACTAGAGTTTGGAACTTAAAATGAGAAAAGTATACGTTTGATATTCATCGAAAGCAAGAGAAAGAAAGTTGTAATATTCTGGGCAACACAAAAAGCAGGTATCGTAAAGACGTGTGAAACGTTGAAATATTTTAGAATTCCTTTAAATAGTTTTTCTCGAGGAATTTTTGAATTCTGTGTTACGCAGAATATTTTTTCAGTGCAAGAGCATGAAGAAAAATGTTAGCTATTTTACCGTATTAGTGCCGTCGACGAGGTTCGGTTGTCTGCCAAATCCAAATTCCTTCTTTCCCGAGAATACTTCGTATATCAGTTTGCCGTTGAATACTGCAATTTTTGGCTTATACTTTCGTAATTTCTCGAGCAGAATGTGACTACCTACAAAATAAAAAACAATAATTAATATAATAAACATATATTTGATGTATAATTAACCAAAGAAAGAAAAGGAATTAATTATAAAGTGATGATCGATTAACATAAATAAATATAGCGCCTGTTTTCTTTCCTTTTTCAATATTTTTAAAAAATTCTAATATATTTTAAAAAATTTAAAGTAAATTCAATTAAATTCAAATTTTATAGCACAGGCAATACATTTACGCTTGGCTATAATTACCCTAACTTATAAATATAGACATTATTACATAAAGTCATTGATTACAGATTACACCTTGCTCCTCTTTATCCTCGCATTCATTCGTGAATGCTATTTATACCATGCAATTCATTCATTCTACATATTTTTGTAAATGAGAGAGAAATTATCGCGAAGCACTTAATAAAAAAAAGTACCCAGTAATAATAATTAAAAATAGATTTCTTATTACGAAAGACGTAACAATCGCGAATAACGTAAAGGAAACGAAACAATTTCTGCACGATGTAATCGACGCAAGTACGGCTGTAATTGTTTCAATTATAGAAGTTAAGACGTTCCCGAATTATGCAATTACTCAAAAGTCTAATTAAAACATTTTCGTATTCTCATCAATTTTGACTGATCGTAACAGAACGTATTAATAGTCCAAATTTCAGTATGCGAGGAGGGGAGGGGCAAAAATTTATACAAAATTTATTTAAATATTTATGCAAAAGACGCGTCATGTTAGCGAATATTAATGTGAGCCAGGCATTGGTCAACGAGTGTTTACAGACGATATAAAGTCGAGATATAAAACGTCTTTAAAGTCTGATTTTTTATTTTCTGATTAACTTGTGGATTAAACTTAATTTGATGATAACATAAAAGTTGTGTTTTACTAGCTACGGTTACTTAATGGACTGATAGTTTTGTAGTAATAACTTTATCATTAGTTTAGTGATAATTTACATTATCGTCTGGTTAAGTCTAACTATATAAAAAAAAAAGAAATTTAATTCTTATGAACATATAATAACTTTAATTTAAGTTTCACTTATTTTTGATCTTCTAATTCTAAGAATTAGAAAAGAATAAATAAAAAATAAACAGATCGAAATTAATCTATATTGATGGGAATGAATCTTAGAAATCTTTTGCAAGGTTCTCACAAAATGCTTTTCAGATCGACATCTTACATCTCGATTTAGATTTCTGTTATCTGAGTTTTACTTTTCGTGATGTAAAAATGATTTTTATAATTCAATTGTCTTTTTCCCTCGACTTTAGAGGGATGCGTCCGTGTGATAGTAAAATGCGTGACCATGCAATCGACTAATCTCGTTTGAAGCGGTGAGCAAAGTGTTCGACCTCTACTCCGTTTTTATACTTCCGGCGTCATTAATTTATCGGCTACTTTATTTCAGTGGGACTTGACGCTCGATGCTCCAACGGACGAACTTGCCGCGGAAAAAGGAGAGACAGAGCATTTTAACATCGCCAGTGAGATAGTTTATTGGCTATTACTGGTCTTACCCGCTTCTAATAAATATAATACGACGCTCTTTTTCAAATTTTCCAAATCTTTCGAAGTGAAATTTCACTCTAACGAGATTTAGAGAGTATAAGTAGAAAAAAAAATAAATATCTATATTTTACACAGTCCTGTGGTTCTAGGATCTCTAATCCGTGCGTCTCTGTAGCGATAAGCAAATCAAAGTCCATCGGTAGGGCGACATTTTCGGATGGAGGGGTCTACACCGCTTTCGGCAGGGCGATGCGCGTGTTGCGATATGGCTTTATAAGAGCGAGCGGAGCGAGCGAAAGCGAGCAGCCGGTGAAGTTGGCAGTACTGTCGCTTCCCGCGTCGCGTTAGTCGCATGGCCGCTATGCTATGTGCGAGTGATCGGCCCGTTAAAAAACGCGTTTCGGGACTGTTGGGTGGGATGGAAGAGGTGAGACACGCTTCCTTCGAGCGTGAGTGCGTCGACGCGATGAGATGGCCCGCAAGATCCGTCGAGAAGGACCGCCGGCATGCGAATGATCGAGGAACACGATACGGTGAGCATCCTTCGATCACGATCCACGAGCTTGCGCTTCTCTTTTCGCCGTTTGCGATTGTCACAAATGGCGCCGCGCCGGTTGATCTTTTTTCGGCTAGGTACCCTGCTCCGACAGTGGGTGTCGAAAGTATCGATGGCCCTTCGAAAGAGATCGATCGAGCGATCGAGGTAGATTTCGGCAAGACCGCATGCGACGCATGCTAATATTGCTAATGTTCGAGCCGTTCCGCCAAATTTTCGAGAATTCCGAGGCAAATCGGACAATTTTTCCTTATACGCGACGCGCGCGTGGAAAAAGCGATCAGTCAGCAGGGATGTATTCCGGAAAGAAGCATGGAGTCGTTCGCACGGTTCGCTTGGCCCTAACCTGTTGATGCAACCGGCTTTTATCTCATTAGCATTGTTATATTTACTTTTATCTTCATGTACGCCGTTCTTCCACTGTTCTTGTTTTTTGTTTTTTTACACTGATATCGCGGAGTTAAACACGGATTTTGTTTAAGACAAGTGAATTCATTTAACGAAACGATCGTTGAAAAAAAAAACACAATGTCCACCTTCTGTGAAGGAAAAAATCAGTTTAAAGTTCCAAACCCGTTTGCAAGGTGTCGTTGTGAAACATCCTGTACACACAATAACTCCATCATGTGCTCGGCTCTATCGATGTAATTTTAATAATTTTGGTTTAACTTTTGATGCTTTTCTAATTTTAACGATTAGAAAAAGATGAAGAGTAACATCAGTTTCTTATATTCAAGACTTAAATACTGTTTTAAAATGTCATAAACCAATTAGAGGGTTCTATTGGCATTCAAAGATATTATTTATTAGTCGATTACTTTTCTCACATTCGATTGCGATTCAACAATTTAGAGCTTAAAGTTGAACATTTACGTTTTAAAATTTCATCGTAGACGCCGCTTAAAATGAACTTGTAATGAGAATTGACTACGAGTATCGCCTTAAGAGGTTAAAGTTAATCTAGATACGGGCAGTATTTTATGCTCGTTTTTATGGGAGTAAAACGAGCCTGCATCGCTGAAAGTTTCTCTACTCGCGTGACACGTAACGGCGTCTATTGAATTCGGCGTGGCGTTAATAAGAGGCGGTTGTTTCTCCCCCCCCGAACGCGAGGAATAAAGATAGAGCACAAAAAACGTAAGGCGCAAGCGAATCGACCAATCACAGTAGAGCCATAAGGCAATTACGTAAGCAATCTAGTGAGCTTTCTCACTATTGCGACCAATCATAGTCGATTATTCTTTTCGATCGGTCAGTTTCTTACGATTTGAAGCTTAGATTGTAGCTTGTTGTAGAAAGCCCAGGGAAAATTGTTAATTCGCTTTGATTGAGTGTCACTTTCTTGTGCATTATGTAAGCTCCTGCCTTTGATGCGCGCACATCACAGAAAACACGTGACCGTATGACGCGTAACGATGCATAACGTCTTTTTTGGCATAAATTCCGTAAGATGAAAATTCTTCAAGCGCTTTTGTTTATTTAGAATTCAGTGCATTCGATGAGATTCTGTTTCACGTACTTGAGATATATATTCGGAGCAAGAATGTACTCCGAACGAAGGGCAGACGACGTGTGAGCACGAATAAATAAACTTGAGTCCAAAGTTTACGTCGTGAGCACACATTGCATCGTTAAATGAAAACACTCCTTTACGATTTCGATAACTCACTCTGGACTTACATGGATCACGTACGTGTACTTATCTCGCGATCATTTCTTTAATCCGTATTTTTCCTACTACGATCGCATACCTATATTTTTTCCGAAGATCAGCACATGACTGCTGAAAACGAAGTTTATAGTTTCACAGTCGAAGCCGTACTAATTTTTGAGGACAGTGGAGCTACTACCTAAGACCTTCGAAGGACTACTACCTAAGCGAAACAACAAAGAAAACGCTGTGTCATGGTTAGGTAGGATCTATGGATTCTGTAGTTTGCCAATTCCATTGTTAGAACGTGGAACACCATTGGGCTTAAGCAGACCGACCTATCACAATTGAGAATATTCAACAATTGAGAAAAGTGGTAACGTTTGAGTGGTTCACTTACAGTTCGCGAGCTACGTTGCTTTTTTCAACTTTTCTCACATTTCATTAGCTTTCTCGGTTGTTTTAAGACGATCAGCAACACATTCTGCTGCTCGATTCGTAGGATGTGTTTGTAAACGTGTCTCGGTTATTTTCTATTTTTAGAATATTTGATAAACTAAAATAAAGAGCTGTCATAACAGAGTCCGATATTGATTCGATTTTTCTTGTATGTCATCAAACACTAATGTCTAAGAGACACGTATTCTTTCTTTATAACGATAATCTAATCTCAAATTTAAAATGTGAAATAACTTCTCATAATTTAATAATAATAAGGGAATGAGAGAAAATATCTTAGATTTTTTTTAAATCTATAAATGTACAGTCATGAAATATATACATAAAAAAATATTAATGTTTTATTTAAAAACATTTTTCTGTACATTTTATCATTTCACTGATAATTGATAGAAATTAAATATCAAAATTAGTTTTGAGAAATTGTTTAACGCTTAAATCTGAAATTGATAGAAAAAAATATGTCTCTTAGATTTTTGTGTTTAACATATTTTAAAGAAAATTACTTCTTGATAATCGTCGCACTATCCTTATGCTTGATGTTACGAACATTTGTCCTTGAATTTGTTATGCATTATTTCAATAGACATAAAATATTACAATTCTAACAAGTCATTGTTTTAAGTCATTGTTTCCTTGCTTTTTAGAAGACCTTTTGAAAGTTTTTTTGAAAGCTTCAATTAAATAGTATTGTCCAAAATTCGTAAATTGTAGATACCTATGTCATGTTTCTCTTTTTTTCAATGGAGACAAAAAGAAAAGGAAAGTGATAGGTGTGAACGCCAACATTAGCCCAATGCAAAGTTGGCCGTGTCATTTAGAGTCGGGTTTTAATGGAAATAAAAAAGGAAAGCAATGATACACGTTAATGTTCTAAATTGCAAATTTTAAACAAACTGTTTTAAAAAGAAGATCGAGAATTAATGGAAAAAAAAAAAAAAAAAAAACAATTCAAACCATATATATAATTTATCATTGCAAAAATAACTTCAGCACATCTCAAATCTCTATTATGTCGGAACTATATATATAAAGCTTAAATTCATAAGTATAATATTAATCGGATATGTCTTTCGGTTTTTTACATAATAAAATATAAATATTATGATAAAATATTGTATAACGCACGTGAATGTAATACAAAGTTCAAATTAATTTTCCTATAAATTATGTCGGGGCGATATCGGCTTATGCAATAATTATTTTCGTCCGAGATTTCGTAATTATCTCATCGCTCGTTTCGAACATACTAAAAACGTTCGGCATACTAACCTTCTTTAATTTCCTTTCTCGTGAGATCTGCGCTGCCTTTCGTCGCACGTGCTACCATATTTGTAAAGCCGATGCCGAGTCGTAAAAGCTTGTAATCGTCGTCCGCAGTCAATGGTTCGGGCGTGAGACCACTTAGATGTAGGCATTTCCCTGAAAAGAGAGGCACAATTACTTAAATTAATAGTAAGAACTTAAGGGTCGCGTCCTCGCGCGATCATAATGAACTTCATTAATCCGTGTAGTAAGGTATATTATATTAATCTGTGAATTAATCCTGACCTATTAATTTAAGATCCACGAGCAAAATTAGACTTTTCAATTAAATGCTTGATAAATTATTTAAAAGAACGGTTTCCCTTTTTTCACGTCTTGCAATAATTGTGGCTACGAAAAAAAAAGGATAAAATTATTATCGTGTACAATGGAGCATGTTACACGCATCGCTGAAACGCATGGGCGGGTTAAAAAAATTTTAATGAAATCGACGTCTGTGATATTATGGGATCCATTTTTAATTTTAATTGCATAACGTTAAGCATTAAATTGCTTACTTGTGGCACCATTATAACGAAACGTATAATTGCAGTCGTCGCGTGAACGGCCAAATGACTTCGCAAAGCTATTGTTCCGCGCGAAATACTCCGTATTTTGTTAATAGGCCGCGCTCGACTATTTATATCCCATTAAATAAACGATCTAAATTTTCTGATAGGCATAATAAAGCCTCGCCCTGGCGGAGGCTTTCGCGCAGAGATAATGGAATTGTTAGAACAGAAGCGCGCACAGCGTGTCTATTGTAATAGAAATGACAACCATTGTTGTTTCCATTGTCGATGGTACCGCGCTGGTATCGTTTTGCCCGGATTACACTAAAATCATCGTCGTGAATTTTATCATTAAAGTTTACTACACACTTGAGACATATTTTCAACTCACTGCAAGTATTTTAATCGAAGTAATAATTCAAAAGCTTAATTTTCTTCCTCGTCAGTTTTCGTAAATAATCCATTTAATTGTCCAATTAATTAATTCTACAAGATAGCAGTTTCAATCATTCGTTAAGTATTGATGAAATTATTGGTATTTCATTATTAATTTACTATTATTACACGGTAAAACTAGGTGACTTCATTTTAGGATATTGTAAGAGATCGTTTATTTTAATGTCGATCTCTATTGTGGACATAAACACGGAAAGAGAGAGAGAGAGAGAGAGAGAGAGAGAGAGAGAGAGAGAGAGAGAGTGAGAGAGAAGGAAGCAGAGAGAGAACTATTTCACATGAAGATATATAAATTAATCTCGTGCAAGATGTACAAACGATTAGCGGTTGACCGCTTGAATGTTGCAACAGCGACGAGCGTCAATTAGCGCCGCGAATCGCAAATTTCCATTGTATAAATAATAAATAGCGCGTATAAATAGCGTACAAACAGCGGTAAATCGTACGGACGACAATTCGTTCTAAATATTGACGTATGAATGCTTGGTAAACGCGCGCGATCGTTTATTTCGTATCGCGAAAAGCAAACACGGCGCTTAACGTAACGTATAAAAGGTATTCGTGCCGGTTTTCCCGCGGTTATGCAGATCGGCAGTGCGTGCGGAAAGTTCAAACGGTCGTTTTTATGGCTGCCGTACGAATGAGCAGCTAAGTGCTCGTTGTCAAGTAATCCCCCGGGGAGTTTTGTTTTCGACGTTTCTTCTATACCGCAACAATTTAACGGCTAAATAATACTTTGTAGGCGGATCAAGCTGTAGAACCGATAGAAAATGATTAAACGCGGAGTTTAGGTCAGGCATGGGTCGATCGATTTTTTGCCACATAAAATTGGATTATGAGAGTTCGCCTTGTGCCGTGCAACTAGAAATAATCGCTCGCTCTGTTTGTGGAGGTTGATTTGCCGGCTACAAGTGAATTATTCACAAGTCTCACTTCGTTAATCCATTTTTGCGTCACACTTTGGCACAAAATTGACCGTCTTGCTGCTAATCATGTATCACTTCGAGGTTACAGCTTAATCCTATAGTAATATTAAAATGTATGCAAATTCACGTAAGAGAATATTTCCTGCGGATGTGAATACTTTGTGTATAGTAACACTTTTCTAAAGTAATGTCTAACTAAAAATGTACGATTAACAAATGTATTAGTTAAGTATGTACTATATGAAAAAAAAGTCACAGAGAAATTTTCTTTTTTTTTTTTACAGCAGCTTTTTTTTTAAAAGGACTTTTAAAGAAGTTAATAAAAAGAGGTTGATAAATGAAAATATTCTTCCGCGTTTACGTCACATCGATAGTAAATTTATTTACCGAAAGCCACAACCGCTGAAGCAATAAGCATCGCTCCTCCTCGTTCATGCGCGAGAGAAAAGAAAGTGGGGCCAAATAAATCTTTAGCGCTCTCGGCGGTACAGGTACACGGACACTCACACGTGTTCGCATACACGTGGGGATGAGACAACATCCCGGTGGCGCGAAATTACAATCGTCGCCAAAGTCTATCCCGCGAACATTTACCCCCAGGCAGCAGATAGAGATTTATGACGCGGCCTCGGGAAATTCTCTCTCGCTGCTTTACTCCAGTGGCACCGACCTACAACGGGCGCACCGCGCCGCGCCGGCACGACCTTGGAGAACTTCGGAACAAAGTTAAACGCTCGTCCGCGGCCGTTGCACGCTTTCCGGCACAACGTGCCCGACCTCCAAGTCCACGGGAAAAGACACGAACCGCACACGTGTGTGTAACGCCGCGCGGTTCCACATTGTGGAGTCGTGATCCGTGAGTCAAGTCTTTTTGAGAATAATATATTTATGCATAATTAGCATAAATTTAAGATGTAGGTAAAAAGAAGAATTTAAAGGGCTAATGGACGCGTTAAATCTAATTGAAGGTGTGTTTTTTTTGTAAGAAAGTTTCTACGTCTCCATACATATCTCTTTTTTGTCTTCGAGAAGTCTCGTATTTTTTTTTTTTTTTTTTTTGTTGCAAAATGCTCGAAGGTTGTTGACGAGCAACGTTCGTGAACTTTAGTATATGAACGTATAGTTTAAAGCTTGTCACAGCAAAGAGGCCATAAGAAGAAGACTAACGGCCGATCGAACAAACTTTATCGGGGCGAAACGCGACCCTCCTTCGTCATTCACGACGCTAACCTAACCCAACTTGACTTCGCTCGACCTTCCCGCCTAGCCACGCTTTATGGTGTTTCGAGCGAGGGTGTGAAAAGTGTGTTTCCCTCTCTCTTTCCCTGTACGTCGATGGAAAGCAAATGCGCTCGTTCCCGAGTCGCGGGTCGACCGTAAATTGTGACTCGTCTCTCTGATATGGACGTAATCGGGATGGAATTCTACGCTAACCCAGTCTTTGTATTTTTTTAGAGTTGGGAAATTATAGTAATTTATGGGAAATTTGAGGATTTTCTCCGAGTGAGAAAAAATATAATACTGAAATAGCCGAGAACTTCTGTCGCGAGTATTCTTGGTGAATTATGAATTTTTATGAATCGAAATAATTTCTGTTATCAATTGTTATCGTGAAACTGTTGCTGTTTTTTTGGACATTTTTAGTGTTATACAATTTCTGCTAATACAACTGGTGATATCAGAATTGGTAATACCAGGTATTGGTTCGAAGGATTTAATTTTTTTCAGTATGAAAAAATAAATATGTAAAGAATATAAATTTTTAAAACATCTGATAATGCTGTTAAAAATAGAAATAAAATACCGAAATGTATACGTCATAAATATTAACATCAATGCAAATATTTTTCTGTAATATGGAACCATTGTTTCCGCAAATAATTTACGTATATATTTTTACCGTAGTATATTTTTATTAATGGCTATCTCTGAACCGCGTGCAACTTGATACATAATCGATGTGCAATATGTGAAATCTGAAGATAATATTTCCAATCTACAAACCGAAAATATACGAATAATTAATTTCAGTATGATCTCATTTAGTATCACAAATTAATCACGTTACTGATATTCGCTGACAGAGTCATAGGAAATATTAGCTGTAATTTTCCATTAATCTCAGCTCTCTAATTTGCGTATCTTTATTTATCATGTACGATATAATTATCTTAAATTAAATATATCTTTTATGTAACACAGCAGAAAATAATTTTCTTATAAAAAAGGAAAACATATTTACAGTTTTTAATTAGTTCTTCCAAGCAAAAGACATTACATTGTCACCTATACCTAATAGGTTTCTAAAGATGTTCGCAACAAGTATTTCTCAGCGTGATTTTCCAAGATCCATCATTTTGCGACGAAACAGTCAAAACTCCGGAGTCCTGGATTGTGTTAACTTTCCGAACTTTCAAACTTGGCCGTTGCAGGCTGTTCTTCTTAACTTGTGTTATGGATTCTGGATATCATAGAGAGAGAGAGAGAGAGAGAGAGAGAGGGAGAGCGCAACAGGACCTTACTTATCGCATTTTTCTTTTCACCCGTTCCGACTTCTTTCTCCAGAGGTCTCGTTCTCTCTCGGTTACTAAAGGCGCGACGAACAACGCTTTCAGGGAAGAAATATTGCCCTTGATATTTTTCTAATGCGCGGAGACTCGACCCTCTTTCATCCTCCAGACAACGGTAACGATGCGCGAGGGAACCGCGGAGATCGCGACTATCATTTAGCGCGAAATGTACAGTTTATTATCTAAATGGCTGTTAACTCGTTGTGCGGATCGCTCGCAGTTGTGTAAGATTTTTGTAACAGCGGTTAAATAAATTCTCGCGACTTTTCCCTTGGCACTTCCGTGTCATCCCTTTCATCGAGTCTCTTTGTCGGATGAGGTAATGCGTGGTTTTTGCGATAGTTGTTCATTACGCGAATAATTAGAAATAGTGCAAATCGAGTTGTTATATATTTTACCCTACATAGCAAATGTTCGGTAGAGATAAATCTATTTCACTTTGGACATCTTAATCGTCGTCGGTGAACTCCAACGAGCATTGTTAGTCTCGCGCTTTATCAAACGCGCGAATTTCTCGATCGACGAGTATATTCGCGTTTGAAACAGCGTGAAATCGACACGGACGATATTCCTCGCTTGTCTCTCGGACGAACGGCGAGCCGCAACGAAACGGCGGCGGCGGTAGCGACTATCGCAAATTTCTCAAACCTCCA